CACAAGTGAAAATTCTGATAGTTAGACCAATATGCTGCAAATTTATTGGAAAAGTACAAGGACAAATATATTAAATTAATTATCTAATAATGTTAGCCCTTTAAAACCCATTCAAAATCCACTAGACTTTGCTTCTTCCTTTTTCCCCTTAAATTTGTCTTCATTTTACAACTTGGTTTAGTGCATCCTTTTTTTTTTTCCCCTACATTTTTTCTGCACTTCTTTTCAACTTAAAGAAGGAGAAGAATATGATGAAGTTTCTTAAGTCTTTCTTGCTATATTACAATTGATGGTTAGTTGTATTTTATGTGGAGGGGGACAAACATTCTTGATATTACAGCCCATATATAATTCTTTCAACTCTTGTTGTAGCATAAAATCATAAAAAGTCAATAGAAAAATAAAAGGAAAACGATAATCCAGTAGATTTTAGATTAATATAGTGATTAAGAACTTTGATTCTGCACGCAACTTGGTAATTGAAATTAAGGCCCGAAAAGGAAAGTGCCAAGATTATAATTAGGGAAAAAAATATTTTTCATCCCAATACAAATATACATTAAGTTTTTCACACTGCCCACTAATTTTTTCACGTTGGAATGTGCAAAGGTTATGCGACTGGACTGCATAATTGTCGTCTGTCGCATATCAATTGCATAACTGTCGCATATTCATCGGGCAATGTCTTCGCACTTTAACTTTTTCCATCCCAGAAAGTGCGAAGGGATATGCGAATGCCTTCGCACTTTTAACTTTCGCACAATGTCATCGCGCAACTATCGCATATTCATCGCACAAATGAAAAAATTCATTTATCTACGGGCAGTGTGAAAAACTTATTACATAAGTGGGGTGAAAAAGACTATTTTCACTTATAATTATGATCCATTCGACACTCACTGAGATATATATTTTAGCACCTTTGAGACTATCTAATTAAATTAGTTAGTATGCAATTGATAGTGTTTAGTAAGTATATAATTTTATGTTTTGACATAAAATTGACATAAAATTGCAATTCTCTAACCAAAAACTTCGATACATAATATTTTCAAAATTAATATTTTGGATCCAAAATATAACTTCAAATTACTACTAAAATTTTACGGGTCAAATCCTTGAGTGATTCTCAAACCTTTTATGTGATCCAAAACGCTAATCATTAACAGACATCTCAAATATATTATAATTTTTTTTTTCTTACTTAATAATATAATAATCAAGATAAAATGAACGAGTCATAGGAGGCACAATCCACCTATCTCATTCTGTGCTTAGGTTGGGTAATACTACTTGAAAATTTATAATTCATTCATAAATATAATTATTTTTTTTTACATTAAAATTATTATTCAACTATCCGTTATTATTTGTTTAATTTTTATGCATGATAAACTAAATTTTCTAGCGATATCTCTTCAATATATTTGATGGAGAGTATTTTCTTAATTTTATACAAGGGAATAAAATTAAAACTTTACATTAATACATATTGTATAAAAACTATTACAATATTGGAGATGAGTTACGTAATGCTGCCTAATAGTTAGACAATCACTCTTTCGAAAAAATTAAATACTTTTATAATTTAATCTCATAATTTAAAATACACTATAATTAAACTGGCACACATTTCATATTATGCATGTATGTATTTTTTGATAATAAGATATGTCTAGAGTTAGACAATCCTAACAATATCGTTTGTGTTGACTATATTGTTGATTGAGTGTTGAAGTATCACTTATGAGTTGTCCCACATTGGTTCTATAGGGAAAATGAGCCTAGTATATAAGCCAAGTGGGCTACTCCTCCTATCACGAATTGATTTTGGGATGGAACCTCACTATGGTGCACCTAGACTCACCCTCTTATGATGGTGCGCCTAATCTGCGTGGGACCGCACCCTCTTGTCCCGATTCTCTAATCTTACATGGTATCAGAGCCAGACCAACTCCTGTGCCTAATCTGCGTGGGACCGCACCCTCTTGCCCCGATTCTCTAATCTTACATGGTATCAGAGCCAGACCAACTCCTGTCTGGTTTCTATCTCTACCCAGCCAACACCGGCCAGGGTTGCTCTTCCTATCACCAATTGGTTTTGGGATGGAACCTCACTATGGTGCACCTAGGCTCACCCTCTTATGGTGCGTCTAATCTGCGTGGGACCGCACCCTCTTGCACCGATTCTCTAATCTTACATTGAGGATGGTGACATATATAATTGTATTTAATTTGTATATCAAAAACAAAAAAAAAAAAATAAAAAAAATAAAAAAAAAAATAAAAATGCCATATTATATACGGCCTATATATGCTTAATTTTAAATGTCATTTTCTACGTTTTTGCCTGTCACTTTGCTAACCTACAACATAGCTCTCAATTTGGTTGACAATAGTAATAAACAAACAAAAATAAGTCTAAAAAATGTTATCATTTTCGTTGATTTTGCGGTAGTCCAACTTTTTATTACCTAAATATACCTAATTAATTCATAGGCCGAAAAAGATGTGATTATAAAATCAAATTAAACGATACATCCCATGTGTTTGTTGTCATCTTAAAATGATACCTCCCATGTGAATTATATTTAATTACTACTAAAATTAGGATTTAAATAAACAAAACAATTCTTTGCCTTTTCCTTTCAACTTTGCCACATTATGTTTTGAAATAAAAAATTTGGCTCTCAAACTACACTACACAAGATTAATAGTAGTTCATCTCATAACATTTAAAATAAAAATAAAAAAACAAAAAACAAATTTGACTCAATTAAGATAAATTTCGAATTAAATTTTAAAATTGATTTAGAGCTTTTGAAACTCAAGTTTTCGGATAGTTGATTTTTCGATAATCAAATGGCTATGAAGTTATGCAACATGTATGCATGCATGATAATACCTTCATTTTTTCTATGATCAAGATGTCAATATTTGCTGGGGAAGTCCTACAAAGTTGAGTGTATTCTAATGAGATACGTCTTATGAAAATCGAACGGTTTTAGCAGCAAGAAAATCTAAAACATTTGTCAACTTTTAGATTCACGATAGTGACCCAATGTAGTGAATTATCGCTCAAGGCCCTTATTATAAATAATTACCACACAAGTATATGAGTATAGTTTAAACATAAACAAGTCGACTGCAAAGCTTTCAAAGGCACAAACTACCCGGGTTTCGACTCAAAATCGATCGGGTTTCAGGTCATCCCAACCGGCCGCCGGTCCATGTAGAAATTTTTTACCAGCAAACAAGTTTAAAGAGTGCCAAAAAGTGGAGATGTTTTGGTAAAGTTGGATGAATCTCTAACACAAATTGCTGTTAATGAAAACCTAATGTTCAAATTGGAGAACCCTTTTTGGTAGTACAAACTAAAAGCTAAAAAATGCAGCCCAAAAACCAGACTAAGTAACTTTGTAATCTCTTGTCTAGGCGTGCAAATTCATTCTTATCTTTGAAGAGGACAAATTAAGACATGAGAGTGACATTTGACAACTTAGACTTTGTTGTCTTGATTTGATGAAGCTACTTAAATAGTAGTAATGCATTTATACGTGGTTCTGCTTATTGGCTGAAGGTTGCATATATTCAAACCATCCAAGAGAATAAGCGGAAAGTGTGAAAGCTATATAAATTACAGAAATTCTATGGCACCACATGTGGCACTATATTATAGTGCCACAACATGATGTGGCACATTATGATTGGTGCAACAACATGATGTGTGATAAAAGAAAATCAATCATAATGTGCCACATCATGTTGTGACACCATAATATGGTACCACATGTGGTGCAAAATATTCAAACCCTCTCTTACCTTTTCTTTAATTCCTTACCTAACATTAATGCTCTTTTCCTCTTAATAAGGGAGTGTATTTAATTTTACTACCATAACTTCTCTATTTACTCGGTTAATTTTATTTTGAACTGTTTCATTTTGTGTCCAACACTATTTTGATTCTATGGAAAAACATAGTTTTTTGACTCGGACCAACCCGACGGGTCGATCCAGGACCCAGTCGACCTGGAGCCGGAATCGGCCCGGGTTGGACCATTTGGACCGCGCATCAAAGGACTCGGTCAAACCCGGTCAACCCGGTGCATTGACCCCGCGGGCTCAACCCGATTTGACCTGGCCCGTATATATTTTTTTTTATTTTTTTTATTTTTTGTTTTTTTAAAAATAAAACTATGTATATATGTTTATATGGTAAATATTATCATGAGATACATATTATTAACACTTTAATGTACAAATTTTATACACAAAACATTTAATTTTGTTACTTTTATATATATTTATATGACAAAAATCTAATTTTTGCATATAGATGGACCACTTTTTTTTTTCCCATTTTTATTTTTATTGTTGCTATTATTTATTTCTCTAAAATGAAGATAGTAGATAGAGCATAGAGGCAGGGCTTCCTAGAAGCTTGCTAGCACCTTTGGGCTTTGATTCATACTTATAAATACTGCTTTCTGTTGCACAACTGTATATGGGCCCTCAATACAGAAAATCTGCTCTTAGTTTTCCATTTTTCTTCCTCTTCTTCTCATTTTCAACTCTTTAAGTAGCAACGAAAGATAAACCAAAAAACCAATCACACACACGAAAATTTTTTTTTTTAAAAAAAAAACACACCAACAGAGCATTATTAGCTTTTAATGGTCTGCATTGCTTCCAAAAACATCAGGCAACCAGCAAAGAAGAGAGTTTAAGGTAAAAACTCAACGATTTTTGGGCTGATTGGCACCTAAATTCTTTCTTTTTTATTATTTTTATTTTTATTTTTTCCAAAATTTGTCCTTCATTATGAGCATTTGGGAAAAAAATGAAATATTATTAGCATAATCTTGATTCTTTTTTTACCACCTTTTGTTTCTTTTGGTGCCATGGCTTCATATTTTCATCTCCATTTGTGGCCTCAAATTTGTAGTCTAATAAACTTGAGGTGGACCAAAAAAAAAGGGAAAAAAAAAAACTTACAGGCAATGGCTGATATTGTTGTGGAGGAAAGAAAACAGAATCATTTGGGAAGTGAAGATCCACAGCAGAAACTCCCATCACTGATCAAAGCTATTGCTGCAAATGAGGTTTCTGGTTTTGATAGTGTTGATGGGCACAATAATAATGACCACAAGTCCCCACTCAATTCAACTGCTTTTCATCCCAAAACCTCAATATTTGTAAGCCTCTCTCTCTCTCTCTCTCTCATACGAACACACACTCTCGTGGGCCGGGCCTGGCTGGGCCGGGCCCATCTTCAAGGCATATATAACTTTATGCAAGCAATATCACCTTTACTGCAAAAACTAGTCAAAACATCAATGGAGCATCAAGCAAGATCTCATTATAAAATCTTGTTTAAGAAAAATGCTAACTTATATATGTTATATATATATATATATATTTTGTTTTCTTTTTGTCTTTTTTAATATCTATGAAAAAATTACCAATCTCAGGGGATGGAGGCAGCTGCAGGCACGAAAAATGAGGAAAATCACTCTAATCATCAAAGGAAGCATTCAGTCTCAATCAGCATGCCTCCTTCTCCCATTAATGAAGCTCACGTAAAGAGCACAAACAGAGTCATGTTTAGAGACGGCGAGACAATTTTAGGAGGCGATGTTCCAAATTCTGATGATGCGGCACATTCGGAAAATGGCGATGGCTCGAAAAATAAGCCACGGTTTTATTCTCAGCCGATGTCCATGCCAAAAAGCTCGGCTCTTGATGGTCCGTCCGATCAGCTTCCGGCGAGGAATCCGACAATCGATCGGCTGCAGGATAAGAGGTTCGACTCTTTCAAGACATGGTCTGGAAAACTCGAGAAGCAGATATCGAACTTGCGTGGGGTAAGACACCGGGAAGACGAGCAGGAGCCTGGAAATGATCGTCAGCACCCGGAAATCAATTTGCCCGTGGATCGGTACTTTGATGCGTTGGAAGGACCCGAGCTGGATACACTGCGGGTACTTATTCATGTTCCCTATAAAAAAACATAAAATAAAATAAACATTAATCATTTATGCAAGAACTCAATATTTGAAAAAAAGAAAATAAAACAATAAGGACCATCTTTTTCCAGCCAGAATCTGGTAAAGTGATGATAAAAAATAGACGAAAGAATTCGATATTTTTGTCCAGGTCTTAAAATCTATCGATTTACTTTTCTTTATTCATTCTTTAATTTTCCCGACAGGCTTCCGAAGAATTACTCCTCCCAGAAGACAAGACGTGGCCTTTTCTCCTACGCTTTCCGATCTCCTCGTTCGGTATCTGCTTAGGCGTGAGCAGCCAAGCCATCATGTGGAAAACCCTAGCAACCTCGAACTCTACAAAATTCCTCCACGTTACCCCTGACATAAACCTCGTACTCTGGTTCATATCCCTTGCCCTCGTACTCACTGTGACAGTATTGTACAGCCTCAAAATAGTATTATACTTCGAGGCTGTACGACGCGAATATTACCACCCGATACGTGTCAACTTCTTTTTCGCGCCATTTATTGCCCTTCTTTTCTTGGCTTTGGGAGTACCACCATCGATAGCCAAAACCCTGCATGCATCTTTGTGGTACGTGCTCATGACACCGTTTTTTATTCTCGAGATCAAAATATACGGGCAGTGGATGTCCGGCGGGCAGAGGCGGCTCTCAAAGGTGGCAAACCCATCCAATCATCTTTCGGTGGTGGGGAATTTTGTCGGGGCTCTACTTGGAGCGTCAATGGGTCTGAAAGAAGGGCCCATTTTCTTTTTCGCGGTTGGGCTGGCCCATTACATTGTGCTGTTTGTGACACTCTACCAGAGACTGCCGACAAACGAGACGCTCCCAAAGGAGCTCCACCCGGTTTTCTTTCTGTTTGTGGCTGCACCGAGCGTAGCCTCCATGGCATGGGCAAGGATTCAGGGCTCGTTCGATTACGGGTCAAGGATCGCATACTTCATTGCGTTGTTCCTTTATTTTTCGCTGGTTAGTTCTTTAAGCGCAGTCTTTTACCGTCCAGCTTCTGGAATTTTTCTTGGCCTTCATCTCCAATAGTGTTTCGATACTAATCGGATTCATTTTGTACCTGTTCTTTTTGTTGCAGGCCGTTCGAGTTAATTTCTTCAGAGGATTCAGGTACATTTTCACCCATTCTGTTATTAATTACACCAAAAGGACTGTTTGAAAGTTGAAACCAACTATAAGATGCAACTGTTAGCTTTTGGATGGAGAAAAGGAACATTTTTTTGTGTGTTTCAAAATGTCTGACTTTTGCTTCTGATTTTGCGCATGATTTTACATAATTATAATTCCATGCACCTCAATTCAATCAAAAAACCCACTCTTCTCTTCACAGCTCATGAACTAAATATATCTATTTGCAAATAAAGATTACGCAAAAATCAGAAGTAGAAGTTGGTATCAAGACCATTATTTAAAAAAAGAAAAAAAAAAAAAAAAGTTCCAGCTAAGAGCAAACCAACCTTTCTGCTTCGAGTTTGACACTGAACTTTTTCCTAATCAATCTTGCATGCTGGATTATTTCGTGCAGATTCTCACTGGCTTGGTGGGCCTACACGTTCCCCATGACAGGAGCCGCCATTGCCACCATCAGATACTCGGATGTGGTCATGAGTACTGTGACCAAAACCCTAACCATCATCCTCTGCATCCTGTCCACACTTACAGTATCAGGACTGCTCGTGACCACTATTATTCACGCCTTTGTCCTGCGGGACCTATTTCCGAATGACATAGCCATTGCAATCAGCGAGAGGAGGCCCAAGAAGACAACGAGATGGTACCACAGGAGGTCCGGCAGCTCGGAATCCAACATCGAGCAGTATCTCAAGTTTTCAAATTCAGTCGACAAGGACATAGAGGCCTGTGAAAATAACCCCGTGAGTCCTGACGGACAAGACTTGCCGTGTCCTGCTAAGAATGATGCAAAGGTTTTAAAAAGCTGAGAATTTAGCATTTGTATGTGTACGCAGATTTTTGTCATTCCTGTCAAGATAGGGGCTCACAGGTTTTTGAGAGCCCCAGTGAAGTTGATTTGGTGTGATAAAAAAGAAAATGGGGTTTGATTGTTCTAAACGGCGTAGATTTTTGAAGGATGAATGTTTGCAGTGAAGGATTTTAGGAGAAGTGTTTGTGTTTATAAGTGTCTTGCGATGGTGAGATTGTGTTGTTTGTATGAATAAAATGCTCATGTCAGTGTGTGTATTGAAGAGAACCAAATTTTTCTGTTTACCTTTATTCTGCTTATTTTTGGTACTTTGATAAACAATCATACGCTAATTACAAAAGAACCCAGAAACCTGTAAAAAATTACTGTATCCAGTGAAAAAACCACAGTTTCAGACACCAGGTATTTGTTGGCAACAGGGCTAAATATGCACAGAAAAATTATTGAAGAAAATACAAATAAAAGAAAATTTATCGGTACCTTTTCCAGTAAACCAAACTTCGTCTTGTCTTGTTGATACTAATTATGCTAACTCGATAAATTGACGACATTCGAGTCCCCAGAATCTGTTTTACCCAGTGTCATGCAACCTATCCAATATTCTCCACGTCACAGCATCTGGAGCTACCCCATTCTTCTTCATCTCACCAATAATCTGATAAGCCTCTCTCTTCAGACCCGTTTTGCACGCCTGGTCAAGGACGATATTGTAATTCACATTATTTGGGACCACACCACAGTCTGTCAATTCGTATAGCAGACAACATGCCTCATCAAACCGTCCAGCGCGGCATAGCCCCTTCAGCAAGGCGGCATAAACAAAATGATCGTGAACTCCCGACGGCCAAACTACACGGCCCCATAAATCCTTAGCTTCATCTATTCTAAAGGATTCACAAAGCCCCTCGATTACAGCAGTGTAAGTTATGCAATCAGGAGCCACCCCATTCAAGGTCATACTGTTAAAAACTTGCATAGCTTCATTCAGTAGGTTGAGCTTAAACAGCCCGCGGATAGACGCATTATATGTCACGACACCTGGCGGAAAACCCTTTTTGGGCATCACTTTGGTCATGAAGTCCAAAGCCTTTTCAGATTTGCCTGCATTTAAAAGACCGGAAATGATGGTCGTGAAGGTGACCTCATCTGGTCTGCAAAATTTCCCCACGAGCATGTCATTAAACACCTGCAGAGCCTTTTCGACCATTCCCGTCATGCAAAATCCTTTTATTACGGTGTTGAGGCTAATGATATCCGGCTGGCATTGGGACTCAAACATCAATACGAACACGTTCAGAAGCTCGGTAGGATTATTCATACAACAAAGAGCCCCCAAATAGATATTGTATATCCTAGTCTCGTCAACACCTTCCTTACACAACATGATGTTTAAAACCTCCTTTGCTTTGGCTAGCTCATTTTCACGGCAAAGACCCCCGACCATGACTTTGTAAGTAAACTCAGATGGTGAGTACCCAATCTGCAAACCTTCTTCCAACACTTGGTATGCCCTCAAGAAATCGCCATCTGTACACAAACCGTGCACGATCGAGTTATACAAAATTGTGCTCGGGTTAACACCCCTCTTCCTCATAATATACACAATTCTTGCGGCGCCATTATACCTCTCGAACCTGCACAGAGAATCAATCATCTGCCCATAAGCAAATTCATTGACTACATTTTTCCATTCCGACACATTTTCTGCAATCTTGAACACCAAGTGGAACAGGCCCTCTCTGCACAAGCTATCAATCACGCTGCCAAAACCCGCGTTGTTAACCTGCAAATCCTTGTCATTTCCAATAACCTCCCAGAATTCAGCCATCAATTTATTTGCCTTATCGAGATCCCTTTCCCTCAGAACCCCACGAATCAGAGCACTGTAAGTGAGAGCATTACATCGCACTCCGAAATCAGACATTTCATCAAACACCTTCTGGGCAGCATAAACCTGGCCTATACCACAGTACCCGTCAATCAAAGTTGTATACGTCACAACATTAGGGCAGTGCCCTTTTCTTATCATGTGATACACCATCAGATGAGCCGTTTCAACTTTCCCCCATTCACAAAAGCCATCGATCAGGCGATTGTAGTTCACCAGTGAGGGCACGAACTCGGGCCTCTCGCCGATCAGCGCGTTCACCACCCGCCACGTGGCGAAAGCGTCCCTCCCGTCGAGCAGCCGGGCGATGAGGACGTTGCAGGTGCGCTCGTCGGGGGCGCAGCCTGAGGTGACGTAGGAGATCAGGCGGCCGTGGGCCTCCGGAAAGCGGCCGGCGCCGCAGAGGGCGTGGACGACACTGCTAATGTTGAGGGGTTCCGGCCGGTAGCCGCGGATGGCGAGGCGGTGGAGGAGACGGAAGGCGGCGTCGGGGTCGCGGCGCTCGGCGCAGAGCGCGTGGATGCGTCTGGTCCAGTGGGTTGAATTGGCGACGCCGATGAAGTCGATGTCGGCGTCTTCCGGCGGTTGCTCGGGGTGCTGTATTTGCAGCGGTTGAGGAGCGAATGTGGTGAATTTAGGTGAGAATGAAAGTAGAGCTTCAGGGTTGGGCCAATGGCGCCATGGCTGGATTTTGGAAAGACGCATTTCGAGTATTTTTACTGCCAAAAAAAAAAAAAAAAAAAAGTTTGGCCTTGAGTTTATCCCTCTAAATCTAGTAAGTAGCCGTGTACGGTAGAGATGCTAAGAGCATGCTTGGATATAAATTTGTTTTTGTTTTGATTTGGGTTGGTTAAATTTGAAAAAATAGGTATGGTTAGTTGTTAGTGGATATAATAAAATAATATTTAAAATAAAATAATTAAAATTAAATTGTTGTAAAAGTAAGAGAGAGAAAATGTGATGTGATAGTTAGTTAAATCTATGTGAGTAAATGAATAGTGAATTAAGGTTGATGTTGTGTGTAAGAATGATTGATTTATATTATTTAATTGTATTGATAATATTGATGATAGTGGGTTGAGTTAAAATTGAGTTAAAAAAGTGGTTGAATTAAAAATGTTTGGATTTTTTTGAGAAATTTTTGTATCCAATCATGCTCTAAATGAATGAATAACTTTAATATGGCATGTCCGATTTTTCTTTTTTTTTTTCTTACCCAGAGGTATCCCTACGTTCATCCGACGCCAAGCCCAAGCCATCATCCAGCCCACCTAGGAAGACCGACCAGCGATCGAGAAAGTGGGTCCCTAAGAGTCAAGCCAACAAGCCAGCTTTCCACCAACAAAGGGTGGGACTAACCCTCTAGGGAAAATAGGAAGCCCCAACCCTATTTCCACCATAGTCAGGTTCGAACCCCTGACCTCATACTTCACAGGGATTTTCACCCTCCTCCTTCGACCAGTTGTCCTCACGCCCTGGGGGCATGGCATGTCCGATTAGACCTGGAAAATAATAGTGTTTGATAATATATTTTTTACATTTTTTATCAACGTTGTTTTTCTAGCGTAAAAAATTAAGCCTGAGTCTATTAGCCATTAGTTTGTGAATTAATTAATATATTTTGTCGAATCATATATACTATAAATTATATTTTAGAATATATATTTAATCTTTGGTATAGGAAAAAATAACAATTTTGCATATTCTTGTTCACCATAATACTTAATTTATTATTTTATATGAAATTTGTTATTAAATAATGTCATTATAGTATTTGTATAAGAGTTATAGAAGTAGTCATATTCTTGTTTTTATTTTATGTAACCAAAATATTTAATGTTCATTAATATTATTTATTAATGCAGGAAATTTAAATTACGTAAATAAATTAAAAATAAAACATTGTGTATAAATATTTTACAAAATATACATGCATTTTATTTTAGAATTTGATTTTTTTGTAACAATTAAACAAGATTGATTTAAAAATTGCCATCAAGAAATTTTTCTAATTATCATCACAATGGTTGTAGTTTATTAACATATTATACAATGAAAATATATTTTATAAGAATTTCATTATGGAAAGAAATGAAAATAGAAAAAAATGATAAAAACAAATTAATTATGATTGACATAATATACAAATAAATCACATGTTGAAATTATAAGGAATAGTTAAAATATTTTTATTTTATTATCTAACTACTAGTGAAATTATTTAATGTATCTAGTCATAATCTCTTAAATGGTAAATAATATTAATGTGAAGAATAATTTATAGATGGAATAAAGTTTCAGAAAAAATTATATTGGTAAACATTAATCCGCTAAATTGATTTTTCAGATTAATTGGAAGAAAAAATTTTACTAACCTGAGTTAAAGAAAATGCTAAGGTCCCGTTACGAAATCATTTCGTTGGAATTTGTAACCGTCAGAGATTGTTGTACTAACAGTTACAAATCCCAACGAAATAATTTCGTAACGGGAACGTGGCATCTTTCCCGAGCTAAATAATAATTTATATTTCATTATTTAAATTTATCAGTAAGTACAAATCTATATATATAAGAAGAATTAACTTAAATCATTTTTAGTAAATCTTTCCCCCAAAAAATATACTAAAAATAGTAATTTATCCTATAAAAAAATTAAAAAAATCAGATTTAGATATACAATCTGTTTTTTGTTCAGCGTGTATATAGGATATCCCTTATATATAATTCTCGAATGCGCTGACCTTACGTGGCTGCTTCTGGCAGTACCACTACCGTGTGCCCTGGCACACCTAGCTAGGTGTGCCAGGGCACATTTGCACGTGCCCTTTTACTCTCCAAAATTACCCAATACTAGAGAAATTTGGAGAGTGTAGTTCACATCCCCAATTTTTTTTAATTAAAAAATGGGACATATTACATAAATTAAAATATCATTAATTATTTATATTAAAAAAATAAAATAAAAATACCAAAATTCATAATTTTTCATTATCTATAACTATAAATAGAGACCACATTTGATAGGTTTTTGAACACAACTAATTTTTCGTTTTTTCATAATTTTTCATAATTTTTCGTAATTATTTTATTATACTGACATATAATGAACATGTTACATAATAAAATGAATATGTTTTCAAATATGATGAACATGTTACAGATTGTAGATTGAAACAATACATATTCATCTTATTTTGTCACATGTTCACTTTATTGTGTATGTAACATGTTCATCTTACTCTATAACATGTTCATTTAATCATGTAACATGTTCATCTTATTATTTAATATGTTCATTTTATTACGTAACATGTTCACCTTATTGTGTATGTAACATGTTCATCTTATTATATAACATGTTCATTTATTATGTAACATGTTCATCTTATTCTATAACATGTTCATCTTATTATATAACATGTTCATTTTATTATGTAACATGTTCATCTTATTATATAAATGTTCATTTTATTTATGTAACATGTTCACCTTATTGTGCATGTAACATGTTCATCTTATTCTATAACATGTTCATTATATTATGTAACATGTTCATCTTATTCTATAACATGTTATTTTATTATGTAACACGTTCATCTTACTTTAAAACATGTTCATCTAAATTTAATTTGTGAAAATGTAACATTTTCATCTTATTCTATGACATGTTCATCTTACTCTATAACATGTTCATTTTACTATGTAACATATTCATCTAATTATAGATTTGCGTCATAATCTTCTAATAAGATAAATTAATTGTAAGAAATGATAAATTAATTGTGTTCCAAAAAAATATCAAATGTGGTCTCTATTTGTAGAGAATGAAAAATTATGAATTTTGGTATTTTTATTTTTATTTTTTTATACAAAATATGAATGATAATTTAATTTATATAATATGATAAATGAAATTCATTACCCAATAAAAATGGGACACATGTCCCATTTAAAAAAACACTTACCTCCTTACCTCTCTCACGCGCCTGTAGAAGAAATGTATTTCACATAAGGCCCTGGCACACCTTGCTAGGTGTGCCAGGGCACACCTAAGTATTTGCCCTGCTTCTGGTGCTTCGGAATCCTACTTGGCAAGAATCATGCTTCGTAATTAGGTTTGGATAAATAATATTGATATAGTATAATTAATAATTTAGGTTCAGACATTCCATAAATATTATTTAGCTAACTTAGGTATTTTAATATTACTTGTACTAATATAACTCTTTAATTCTATGTAATTTTACATAATGAGATACTAAGTGACTAATACATCATTGACTTTTGATTTGTTTCCTTCAATTAGCTATTGAATTGTAAATGTATTTTAAAAGTTGATAACTTTTGTATGTCTTATCGATTTTACATATATAATATATCAAATTAATCATCTTTTGATGATCTTCGATTTGACATCCATATTGTATATATGAAACAAATAAATTATATTTATCTTTATAATAATTAAAAATAATAATATTTATTAAAATTATAGAAAAATAAAATTAGTTCTCAATTGATATATTTATATTTAATGTAGTTATATGTTGTAAGTTAAAAAAAAATTATTATAATATAACACATGTAAGTCGCACAAATAAAAGTGTCATACTAAATATATAATAATATATATATTTGTATAAAAAAGTATTTAAATTTTAAACTTATTTTTCTCATTAATTTTAGATTTAAAAAAAAAAAAATTAGCAAGAACCCGTATACGAGCGTTGTAGTAGTTTAAATATTAAACAAACAAAAAAACTCATTACGTGTCATTTATATAATCATGTTCTCAAAAATTATAAAAATTTGTTATGTCTGTATAAGACAATTAATTTCTTCGAACAATTTTAGTAAACCCAAAGTGTGTTGTCATTTCAAAATTTTCATTATCATTTAATAAAATTGGTGATAGTTTTTTAAAAAATATAAAAAATCTCATCAAATTAATTAATTAATTTATGGTATTCATTTGGAAAAATTAATGAATGTGGCTCTAGTATAAAGTGATCGATTTTATTTGACATATCTAATTGTCATTTTTTTTAGGAAATGTGTTGTTATTAATAAATGATCAAATTCATGATATCAAATGGACGATTTTATTTTGGAATAAAATGTGTGAATTTAATGGTATCAATTTTATTTAGCATAGATATAAGTGTACTTGGAAATTTTGAAAACAAAATAAGTGATATGAAATTTATTTGGTATGGATATCGAAGACGAATTTTAAATTAATTTGTTGTAAATTAAGTAGATATGATTCTCAAACGTTAGTATACTCTCATAGTAACTTGTCATAAGAGATTGAAGATAATTGGCAAATTGGTATGTATTCATTTTAAAAATCAGAAAGATATTTGAACAAATATTGGTTCAGAAAAATTAAATTTTGTAATTTATTTCTAGATAATTGGTTGATAAATTCAAAAATAAGCTAACGGACAATAAATTTAGAAAAATATGAGATACATTGTGTGTGTGTGTGTGTGAATTATATAAGGGAATTTCTTATGTAGTCCAAATTTGAATTTTGAATTTAAAAGTCAAATAATTAATTATTCATAATTTACGGATCAATATTAACTTGAACGTAAATAAAATTGTTAATCATTTATAGTTTAATCAAATTATGCAACTATTTTTTTTTTTTT